ATTATTAAGTCTTCATTTTTAGGTGTTATGCATTCTGTCAAAGAGCACGTTTTCAACCTTGCTGTCTGTTTTATCTTTTATGCATGCTTATCACGTATATGCTTTGTAGTTTGATTTTGTTTAAATCTCTGCACATTTCTCAATAAGCCATTCCTTTTTTACTTACCTATACTTATTTCTCAAGATTTTGCTTAATCACATATAATCTGCGATATTTATTGGTATTACCTATTGTCTTTCTTTCCTTAGGTCAATAATTTCAACTGTCGTCCATTTCATTTATCTTTTTTCCACGTCTTGATTTTCATATAGCACTGGTGCTTCCATTTTAGATGTTCCATTTTGGATCACTCATTTATTCCAATGTTTCATATTTGTTCTTAACGACAATTGTATACGCTTGTTTACAAATGGAATCGCTGTAGAATTTGCCACATTACAGTTTAGTCATAGTTTTTGTGACTTCTTTAATACTTGTAGCTTGACAATTAATTTTCATATGACTAGGAGGCAATCCTTCCTGCAGTCATCGTCCAAGTGATCCGTCAGTATGATTCAGAGTACAAAACCTATCGCCCGGTTCATATTACTCCCCGGTTTTTTGATCAGGAGTAGATGTCTATCCCTTGTTTCCTGTTTAAGATTAGGTTTCCGACCCCTTCTAAAGTTTTTTTTTTTCATTCTCTTTCACTCCCAGTAGCCCTTTGCATTTTAGAGGTATCATCGCCTTGCTTGGAGTGAATTGATAACAAAAATGCATGTCTAACTCGTTTGTTGAGGTTTAAGAAGCACTGGTGCTTCCATCTTAGATGTTCCATTTTAGATGTTCCATTTTAGATGTTCCATTTTGGATCCCTCATTTATTCTAATGTTTCATATTTGTTCTTAACTGTAACTGCATATGTTTGTTTGCAAGTGGGATCGCTGTGAAATTTGTCGTATTATAGTTTAATCATTGTTTTGTGTTTCTTTAGTACTGATGGCTTTACACTTCGTTTTCGGAAGAGTGGGAGGTGAAGACTAGCGCATAATCGCAGCTGTGATCAGACACTCTATGTCTTAGAGTGCAAAACTGCATTTCTAAATGGTTTGTTGAAGTTTATCTGTTTTTAATGTCTCCTGCCAAGTTTTACTCAAATTACAAGCCACTTGGGTGTCCTTCAAACCAAGTGTTGATTATGACTTAGCTATTCGCTTTGCACCAATAAATCCATTTTCTTTATGTCTATTACATGATCCAATGCCATACTTAAAAAAAATTGCTATCTTATTCAACTTTTACTTTTTCATAAGTCCCCTTTCCGACTTGATCATGATAATTTATTGTCCTTTGCTCTGATTTTTGACATTTTCTAGTTTATATCCTTTGTTTTCTTACGTGAGTACCTATACCACGATGTTCGCCATGTTGTATGGCTTAATCTTTAGTATCACCAATAAAATCCCTATTGTTTTCAATTTTTTTTTTTTTTGCTTACTCCCAAAATGTTAATATTCAGTTTTTCATTATCTTTTTTCTTTTTAACGTTCCGAATAGGCACAATATTCTAACGTTCCATTTCCTGATTATAATCTTATCTTTGTTGCAGACATTCACTAGATGCACCAGAGGCAACTCCTGTCACCAGTGTGTTTCATAAGCGGGCGATGTATCAGTTCCAACGTCCTACTTTCCGTCAATATTTAAAATGTTTTAGTTGTAGTAATTGTTCTTAGAGGGGGGGATAATGAAGTGGTTTCTCGTTGTCTTCTCCACATTGATTTTATCGAAACACCGCGTCTAGTTAGCAGGCCATTGGCCATACAAATAGGGTATTGAATTTTCATTTTTATGTAATTTATCTATATCTTGATATATATATATATATATATATATATATATATATATATATATATATATATATATATATATGAGCTTTCATAGGATTTGTATCTTTGGAAGGTGAAAGTGCTAATATTCATAGCAGATTTGTGAATGTTTAGTGAACTGCTGCACTTTCTCATTAGAGTTATTTAGAAGAAAAGAGAAACGGCTCTTAGTGACAGGTCCTGCCGTGGCAGGCCTGCTTCTGCTGCAAATATGGCTAAAGTTAACTTGACTGATATTACATCAGACAAAAAAAATCTTAAGTGGCCAAATAGATTAAGTTTTTGGTAAAGTATCTGCACATAATGATGTAGTGCTCTCTTGAGTTTCATTTCATTTACTGAGTTTTGCATTGGCGCTTTGAAGAAAGATACACTTTTGATAGGTAAAAACTGGAGATTTAGAGTACCATCCTATACTATTCTCTCATTTACGGTATTGATAATAATGATCTATGGTAATTTTTTACCATATTCTGTCCGTGCATAATTGTAGAACTTTTATTTTTCTTCCAACTAGGCGGTTAAGCAATCTCTTCGTCAACAGAAAAGTGGGGAGAGGAACCGGTTTAGTTGCTGACAATTCGACAAGCACAACATTCATGTTTATACGTTGGTTTGATTTCTCGAAAGAAGATTTTTTTTTATCCCTTTTCGACGACTGTTACAAGCTTTTCCACATCGGTGGCAAGAGATACGCGGATTAGTGCCCACGCCTCTATACGAATGACGGTTTATAACTGTCTGCAGTGTAGAACGCGCTTGATCAAACTCACTCTGCGTCAGTTATTTACGTGTCTTCACTCAACGAGACAAGACTTTGGTAGTAAGTCCCAAGGTCGAAGGTTTCCTTTTAGAGATTTGTCTTCCCTTAAGCAGATGGTGAGTTGACACTAGAGATTTGCCGTTCCTTTGAAGACCTATTTTGATTACGATGGCTGATCTGAGTGGATCAACATTCCGTATTTTGGTTTACTTGCGAGATTTATTTTCTTTTATGTCATTTTTAATTCTGTGCTTTCTCGCCTTTTTAACTTCATTTCAATTCCTCACGGCGCTAATATTTAGGGGTGTATATTTGACCCCTGTTATTGTTTCTTTTACTGATGCAAAATATGTTACTTACAATTTCGAAAATGGCCACTTCCGCTTGTATTACTATAATTACTAGCAGGGATGACCTTTCTATATTTAATGGGAAATGTTGAATTTTGTTGCATAACCAAGCAGTAATAAAGGAAAAAGAGAAATCTTTATCTGGACCCATCAAACAGAATTACAATCAAAAGACAAATAAATCGAAAAAAAAAAAGAATCATATCACCACAGGTATGGCTATAAAGCCACTAAGACGTAAGGGGTTACTGAGGATAAAAGAAACTGAGAAATTTTTATTGAAAATAAAGGACAATAAAAAAACAGGTTGTACTTGATGAGAAATCCACAAGCGAGAAGTGCGGAAGAAGACACTATTAGAATATAGCTTACAGTTACTTCTAGCAATTTCTAGTTTAATGTGATGGGACCTAGCTGCCAATCTAGTACTACGCTTAAAATCTTGGAGTCTAGATGCCAAAAAGGAAAGTTAATCAGAAAAATTACCACGAAAATAATTATTAAAAAGATACAGAGAAGCTACATTACGTCGGGAGTGGGAACTGAAACCGAGATGCCAGGTCAAGACCGATACCACTGCAGAGTATTCTTTAGATTTTGTCAAGAATATGTGAATACATAGCGGAAACACCAGACTAGATGTGCAACAATATTCAATAGTAAAAAAATATCTTTTAAGTTAAGATCAACATTGTAATGTGCGAATGGTCAGTTATAAAAATAATAAATGGATACAATTCTCCATCAGACCGCTTAGTAAAAGCTAAAGTTTTTAAAAATATGGTAAGATCTTTTAAATTTTGTTAGAGACTGAAAATATATCGGAATTGATGATGAGATTTATATCCATCAACATTGAATTGGTTTGAAACAATCTGGAAGAGCCTTGAAAAAAGAAAAAGAATTTGATAGTGAAAGGAGAATTCAAATATCCTGACAATCATCGTGAAGAAAGCTGAAGAGAATGCAAAGAGTATTGCCACTTGATTTTCAGTGAAATATATCAAATAGGAAAACTCGCCGAGTATACGGGAGTAAGTCAAACATTATCTGCACTTTTCTCTTAACGTCTTTAGGTTTGTCACACTGCCTTCTGCTCATGCGTGCTTATAGCTGGTACTATTGCGGTCACATAATCGAAGTTTGAGCTTGATGGCGCCAGTTTTCTTGCTGTTGTTACAGTGTAAACATGGCCGCACTGCCAGCAGTGTGCACCAAGGAGGAACAGAGCAGTGATTTGAATTTGCATAAGCAACATAAGTCAATTGATTTTGTCGTTGGTTATTAATGAGCGCTCAGAATGCTTTACTAGATGAGTACACTCAGCAAAACGATGGCTGCTTTATTACTCACAAGGGAGTAACTTACCCTTAAGAATGTTTTCTATGCCATAAGTAAAAGTTGTAGTTAAGATGTGTTTTTGAGAATTTTGTGCACGTTGATAAATATAAAATTATATATTTCGAATAGGATATGTTTTGTATATTGTGTCTGTTCTTGCTGAATGTTTTATATGAGTAAAACATTTGCTTTAGGTCTGTGTATTGTGTTTATAGTGGAAAGAGGTTAATGCTTTGTCTCTCAATTTTTCTTTATGCTGATATTGTTGGAGGGGTTCTGTGAGCATTCATGTGTGCAAAAAAGGGTTTCTGGAGAAGAGAAAATGCGATTTTCTACAAATCTAATACTTTGTGGTGGGTGATGGTAGGAGACAGCCAGCCTGTAGCTAACCAATCCAATTGCTCGCTATTTTCAGCCTAGCTTTGAATGTGCTCAGCTGCGAGGCAATACGACCGTACCAATTAAGAAAGATTTCAAAGCACCATCTTTCATTCTCGGTTATTTCTTTCATTACAATTTTCTTTCCTTATTTTCGCCGATATCCTCCTATAAATCACCAAACTAAATAAATACAAGAAGCGTATACAGGTGCATTCAGGTGGATTAAAAAACATCATTTCTTAAGTTTCCTTGTTGAGTCGTTACACATAGACGCATATCTGATACGAGATGGCTTACAGTCACATCACGTTGAAATACCGGTTCTCGTACGATCACCGAAGTTAAGCAACACTGAGTCTTATCAGTATCTAGATTAGTAACCGTTTGGAAATACCAGGTGCTGTAAACTTGGTTGTGCCGTTAGTAAAATGCATAATGGCTCAGAATTGTTAACCGGAGAGCCGAGTTCCATTTCGCGTCGGGTCCTTTATAGTTACTTAGACATAAATACGCTTGGGAAAGGCATGAACCCACCAACATTCCCCCAGCTATGGTTGAATTATTAAGTCTTGTATCACTAAAATCGGTTTTAATTAAAACAAAATTCTTACAATCAGAAAATATGTTCTGGTTTAGAATAACTTGCAAAGGGTTGATAAACCGTAAAAAATGAACGAATCAATCAAACACTTTAATAAGACATTAAATGGAAATTGATTCGAAAACAAACTTTTTCTAAGTAACTAATTAATTTAACTGCCAATCCGATATTATTTCGTATTACTCTTGACTTTACTTTAGTAGATACACACTTTAGTAGATACACACTTTGTATTTTTTCAATAAGTGTTATGGTCCGGTTCCTTGTACCACGCTGGTAGTCCAAGGTAGAACCAATAAAGAAGAACTCGAAGGCGGATATGGAATAACACAGATATATTACAAACAGGAATATATACAGAGAAGTAGAAAGTGTTAGTACGAAAAATCAGGTTTAGTAGTAATTGTCTGAACACGACTCTGTTTCGGACTGCCTCTGACTCGACTGACTGACTTCACTTCAGACTTCAGACTGAACGGTATTTACTCACCCCCGCCCACGAGGGCATCATGTGGCACAAGGCCGGTTTAACGTGGGGTCTCCGAGCCCGTGGGGTCTCCGAGCCCGTGGGCTCGGCCAAAAATATGACCTTTGAACCCGTATAAACAGGTTCAGGGTCGGTTTACCTCCCTGAAATAGACTCTGCCCTTTGGCGTAGCCTCGTTCGGGTTCCTCCCCGCTCGAAGGCAGAGAGTCCAACCGATCAGCTTATATTTATTACGTATGGAATAGTCCATTATGTTATTATGGGTAAGGTCCCATAACAATAAGATTGATTACCTGAGTATTCGAGATACCAAATAAAGAGAATGCGATATAGCGGCAGGGATCGAACCCTCACCCCGATTTATAAAAGAATCCAATGTTCGGATCTGGTGGCTTTAGACCACAGGAAAATTGTAAAGACTTTTGAGCAGATATGTGTTTTCGAGATCTGAGCGAAAGGCGAAGAATTCTCTTGAAAGTATAACAGAACATTGCATATCGACGGACATAGTCAAATATTTTGTATATGTATATATCAGAATATTTCAAAAGATTCTATTGCAGTTAAATTTTTTAATCAAAAACAGGCGGTGAAATTATATTTGAGAAGCACTTTAGCATTTGAAATATTAACATTCATAAAATTCTACCGGAAAAATAAAAGTAACGTTACATTAAACAGACACATTGATAAAATAAATACTTCTTTTTAGAACAATTATTTGCAAACTCCTCTTGGAAGCCATTGTTCTATATTAGAGTCGAGTGATAGCTTAGGTAAATTTTGATAAATATAATTTCTAAGCCATTTTCGTCACATTATTCATTTAAAAACTTTATATAATAACCTTTAAAACAAAACAGTAAAAAAAATATATCCAGTAATGACATCGAGAAATGTATTGGATTTTTCTCTTTTATTTCTGTTACACTCTCTTAATTAAATTCTGGGTTAAAGCTTTTCCGGGTTCATTTGTAAAACTTGTCCGTAAAAGTAAATTTATGGCGTTGCTTATCTTCACGATATGTTTGTTTCTTTTTTTCTCTTTCTTCTTTCAGTTGTTTTTTCCCGGCATTCTCAATCATTTACTTTTGTTTCTTTCATCTTTCTTTGCTTCTATTGTTATTTTCAAACTTGATTTTATTGTAATTCCCTTTGAAAATGTATAAATCCACCTCTTCTCCCCCATCTATGGGTTAATTAGTGAGAGTTGTATCACTACAACCGTTATTATCTAAAACATTCTTACAATCTAAAAATGTTTTCTGCCTTTAAATAGCCGGCAAAGGGTTGATAACCAGTAGAAAATGAATGAATCAATCAATTATTCATTGTTATTCGCGATATCTTTTTTTTCTTTCGTAGTGGTAAGCTGATATTTAAGCTCGAAAAAAGTTTGCATAAACAAGTAAACTTTTTATTAAACAAACTCGTGCTAAATTCTAAGCAGTTATTTAAAAATACTGAGAACAATTATTCATTATTTCTTATTTTTCTGTAATAATCTTCGTTTCTTAAAATTTTCTTTTTTAATATTTGCGTTTATGTCCTTTCTAAATTTTTTTCTGATTTCAATCCACTTATTCCACTTTCTTTACAGCATTTTTTTACACCATAATATTTTTTCAGTAGAGGTCAGAAACATTTTTTCTAGATTTAGAAATGAGAAAATCCGTTACGATTATATTTAAAATCTCTTTTCATTAGAATTCTTTTCTTGCAGTTTTCAATCATTTATTTGACCCTCATTATTTTCCTCTCCGAGAAACTTTTATCCGATAAGAATGCTGGCCTCGAGCATTTTCTGGGACAATCTATCGCCAATGATTAATCTTTAATGGAAGCCTCTGCTTGCAACATCTATCATTTTCACTAATAATGTTCTCGCTTGCTATTATGAGATAATGCTCGTCCAGTACGGATGTGGAAGCCTTTGCTTTATCTTCAGACGTGCAAGATTCAGACGCTTTAAAATTTCGCCAGGCATCTTGGTATGAGTTTTTGGCCTCTGGGAATTTGTAGACAAGAAACATCAGCAATTGTGTATAAAGATGAATTTAGGACAGCATTAGCTCTAAAACAAGCAAAGTGCAAATGAGTTGAGGGATGAGAAGGGATAACAGCAAAAGAAAGATTGAAGGGAGTAAATGTGAAGGGCAGAATGGCAAGATCAGAAGCTGTTAGAAAGCAACAAAGAAGGAAAGGAAAAGAAAGCGGTTGATATAAAAAAAAAAGATTGAAAAGGTAGAAAGAAAAGCGAATGGCAATGTGAAATCAAAAATAGTAAAAACGATGGGATAGAGTTTGAAGGGAGAAACATTTTAAACCGAAAAGAGGAAACAAAATTGAAAGAAACAGGGAGCATCTAAAGAATTTAGGAAAAAGAAGACTTTACAAAAATAAATGATAACCTCTAAACAGAGAAAACAGAAATAAAAAGGAAAATTGTAACTGAAATATGAATAAACAGAGAAAGAACTTGCTCTCATATATATATATATATATATATATATATATATATATATATATATATATATATATATACACACACACACACACACATATATATATATATATATATATATATATATATAAATATTTATGTATATATTTCAGGTATAAGTTATTCCCCCATAATAAAAAAAAAAAAATTTCGCTTGAAGATGGAACAGAGCTTAGTACTTTAATTCAATTTAATTCAAATAATCATATTGAAGTTTTCGGCTCTTGTTTTGAAACATGAGAACTCTTATGTAGCGATGGAATCATATTTTAAATAAATAATTATATTTATGCTCTACTTTTGTAGTGAGCACTATTTTTTAAAAATAATAACAAAAATACTAAAGAACTTTGGATTATTTACCTAACAAGTTCTTTCCTATTTTCTATATATTTTCACACACACACACACAACACACACACACACACACACACACACACACACACACACACACATATATATATATATATATATATATATATATATATATATATATATATATATAAGCGAAAATTGTAATCATATTAAAAAAAAATAATTATATATGTATATATGTAAATACTGGGCGCGATGGGTAAATTGTCGTCTAAATTACTATGCTTAAATTGATGAAATCAAGGCATCAAAGAGGAATGCTCATCAGAGCAATTTTCATGAAAATATTTATAGAAAAGCTACAGGGCGCGATGGATAAATTGTCGTCTAAATGCCGAAAAAGTGAAAATAACACTGACATCTTTTAACGGATATTTTTTTTACCAAAATTACACAAAAATTCCTTGAAATACCGAAGAGTAAATTTATTCAATAAAATCACGAATGGATTCAACCACGGCCTCCAGACAAGTTCGGCATCTCATACATCTCTTCTGGATGGTGTCCTTGTTTAAGTTGGTAAATGCTGCCATAATCCTTGCCTTCATTTAATCGTTGAAATTTTGTAGGTCTGTCGTTCAACTGCGCCACATACATAATAATCAAGTGAGTTACAGTCTCGGGATTCGGGTAGCCACGTGTAAGGGGTGATGTGGTTTCAGAGATTGTCTGATAGCAATGACTGGCTTTCCCTGCATGTTGCAAGTTTTCCAGGAGCCATTTTCTTGATCCAGAATAGCACTACATTATCAATGCACTTGATGTAGGCCTCTGCGTTGAGTCTGAGTCATTCATCAACAAATTCGGGATCTTTTTTTCTTATCAGAGCGATCAGAGTGAGTTTTCCGAGCTTCCGTACCTTCGTAATCACCATTAAACTCATCCAACTCTTTCCGTATCCTTTGTACTGTGCTCAGATTGACGCCCAAAGTCTTTGAAATATATAAAACAATGTGTGAACATTTTGTTTGTCATGTTTCGACGTTGATCTTGTGTCATCAGAAAAAATAATTTTAACAAGAACAAGTTCGACATTATCGAAACTAAAATGATTAAATTCCAATAACGATGAAGCAAAAGTTCAGTTTCTTAACGTTTCAGTTTGTTGATGTAGATTTTGTTGAGAAACAAAATCATTGTACTTCTTATCTATCTAGAAGAAAGAAATATACTGTTGAATGTAGTATCAACAATATAAACAATAGATAAATCCCGATTAATTATAGAAATAGTTAATGTTTCTTCTTGTGTTTTGTCTGATATTTAATTCTTCTTGAATCGCAATGTTTTCCCGCGGTGAGATACAGAGAACCGTAGCTAACCACCAACATTACTTGTCCTTCTCATAGTTATTTATCATATTCATTCGTTGAAAATCTCGAGCTATAGTGGGTAGGGGACATGTTGCTCATTTATTCGTACCAACTGTAAGATATTTGT